TTGGCTATTCTCTGCCTGCACAGTGTCCAGCTTCCATGTCTTCCCCAGCATCTCTTGAAGCCACTGGTGTGGTGTCTTGTGTACACTTAAAAATGAGTCAACAGTTCCTTTTGATAGTAACCCCAGCTCTCTGCCCTGACAAACCCGTGTCTCTCCAGCGGGCACAGTGTGTTTCTCCCTGTGCTGGCATCCTGCCCAAGGCTCTCCTGTGGCTCCACCAGGACAAACCTTAGTGGTGGCTGCCCTGACCCCTCAGGACCAAAAAGCCATGAAGAGCATAGGAGAATTATGCTCTGCCCTGTGGCTTCCCGAGGCAATGTAGCTTGGTTCCCAGTGTGTGAACACAGAGAAACAGCTTTTTTCTTACGGTAAGATACATGTAACATATAACATGCCATTTCAACTATTTACCACTTTATTAAATTTTCTATTTTAACTATTAACTAAGTGTACGATTCAGTGGCACTAAGTATATTCTCAATGTTGTTGAACCATTTCCACTGTCTAGTTTCAGAACTATTTCTTCACCTTAAAAGGAAACTCACATCATTGGCAGCTCCTCCCCATCCCTTCCATCCTCAGACCCTGGCATCCACTCCTCTGCCTTCTGTCTCCATGGATTTGCTTATTCTGGATATTTCATATACATGGAATGTGGCCAAGGCTTGGCTTCTTTCACTTAGCATCGTATTTTCAAGGTTACTCTTTTTGTTTTTCCTTGGTGTTCCTTCTCTCCCTAGGACCAGGCTTGCACCAGGGTGCTGGGATGAGGGTGGGTTTGGATGAGCATTACTACGAGGCTTCTTTCCAGGATTTCTGATCACTTTCAGTGATAAGCCCTGCTGATTCCTTCCTCCTTAGCATGGGTTTTCTGCCCTTTGTGAAGATATCCGGATGACGCTACTCCAGCTCCCAGACATACCCAGAGGTGTGTGAACAGCAGTGAGTGAAGGCTGTGCTTCTTCCTAATAGGCTCTTTCACCCAATCCACCAGTTTGCCAGCCATACCCACATATGCCTGAGCCTGAGAAGTCCAAGTAAATGCTGAAGTGGGGGTGCCAACTAGAGTGATTATAATAGCATGATGTTATATATATTGGCATAAAGTAGGTTAAGATGTTGCAGAAATCCTACTTCCTTTAACGGTTGAGCACCGTTTTGCTTTCTGTACCTTGCTAAGTATAGGACACATTTGTATTTTTCCAGACTCTTTCACATACTTGCTTTTCAAGTGCTTTTGACTTTTCTTGTGTAAATCCCATTTGATATAATTCTGATACCTCTGATGATGTGGCTCTGTTTATGGGTAGGGGTTTACTGAGGAAACTTTTAACAAAGATTCAATATGAGAAATTGTTTCCAATTTACCGTTAATATATAGAAACTGAACAAATAGAGAAATGCAGGATTCTTTGCTACTCCTTTGTCATATCAAATTATTTATTTGGGGACGTTTCAAGACACTGGCTTTGCCATAACATCCTTCTCTCTAGGAAATTCAGTCTGATGAAATTTTGTGTTTGTTTTTCAAAATTTTAAAGTTTCAAATTTTCAGAATGTATTTCTGTGCATTCCCTTTCCTTTCATAGCTGCTGTTTCTGTAGATTTTACATTTAACATTGACCTATGTTGTGTATAGTAACAAGACAGAGAGGAACCCACCATAAAACGGCATAAATACCAGGGAAGAAAATAAAGTCTTTAACCTTCCGTGCTTAGGGTCAGAATTTTACCCCAACAAACATCGTTATATCTGCAAACTTTCTTTGTAGTTCAAATATGAATACATCCTTGAACTTCCTAACTTTATTCATTTTCTCACTCCTCTATGTCCGTATTCACTATTCTTTATGCAATGAGCCATTTCGAGGCACCATATTTTCACACTTTTTAACTCTCATTTTCACGTTAGTGTGTAAGTGGCTTTGGTGTTTTTTAGACCCAAGTTACATTCATAGATTCCCCCCTGCTTTTCTTTGCATCTGGTACAAACCTGAACATATTTTATTCGCTGTCATTTTTTGCTTGCAGATGTCAAATTAGTTTGTGTAACTCTAAGGGATTTTGCTTAGGTTTATGCCTTTCCAGTCAAGCTGCTCTTATGGAAAACAAATATTCAAGCAATGTGAATTTATGGACATAGAAGAAGGAAGATACGTTCGAGACCATGGCTCATTAGTAGGTTAGGGTCTGCTGCACCTACTTGTCTGCCAATATCTATCTGCCAATATTCCCAGACTTTCCTGTTTCTAAATGCTGATTTAGATAAATGCTTTTCTAACCAAAATGAAACAGTATGGTATTCAAGTCAACCATGGAAACAAGCATTGACATACGTTCCCCCACCTGAAAGACATCAGGATAGGCTTGATTTGAATCAGGCAGGAGGCCAGACACAATCAGGCCCCTGAAGTCTGGAACTCCACCAGAAGGAGAGATCGGTCCCCCACTGCCCCAGGATCCTCCAGACTGCAGAAGATCTGGGGAGGTCAGAATTGAACAGGGCTCCCAGATCTTTGATAAAATGTGAGATAGGAGAAAGGGGGAAATGGGAAAAGCAGGCCTTTCTCTAAAAGATCCAATAAACAGGATGACGCCAGGGTACTTTCCAGGCCTCCCTCATGCCATCTCTATCTCTACCATCCTATCATAATCCCCAGGTCACCCTGGCTGTACATGCAAGGCAGGCCACACGCTGGGCTGCTTGTACAGACCTAGAACAGTTCAATGGCCCAGTAAGGACTTGCTATCCCAACTGGACTATCTTGGAAGCCCTTCATGGTACATGAGATCACAGAATTGGTATTTGATACCCCTTGGGTTGGTCGCATTGTCATTTCACCAATATAGCTACACTTTCCTTCAAGCAAACCTGATTTATATGTTTAAAATCTCACTTACACCAAAGATTAATTGAGAGGATGTGTCTTCCCACCATGTTCACAAGATAGGCTCTCCACCTTCTCTAGGGTTTAAAGGCATTCAAAACTCCCTAGACCCTCAGTTCCAGGCAATCCATTCTCCACATTGTCCCTCAGAAACATCAACCAAGCCACGCTGCTCATCTGGGTGTCTCTCCAGCCTGGAACATCCTCTCTTCCTGCGCCTCACTCTCCTGATCCCTCTTTGTCCACATTCCCATCTGCCAGGAATGCTACCTTAGTCTCTGCAGCCCACAGAGGCCCACCTCTTCTGGCTCTCCCAGCCCTTTTGGTCAGTTTTACACTGTTGATCATTCAGTCAATTAACACATATGTCTCAAGCATCTACCATTAGCATCATTCTGCAATGGGTACCTCCAAACCTGATTATTTCCTATAAGTTAATCTTATTTCTCCAAATAGTTTGTAAGCTCTTTGAATAAAGGACGATGTCTCCTTTTTAAATCTTACATATTACTTGGCATGTGATCAGTGCCCAACTGGCATTCCATAAATTTTAAAAACGGTTCTTAACTTCACAAAAATTCTCACTGGCTGATTTTTTTTTTTTTTGGAGAAAATTCTTCAGGTGCCCTCAATATATGGTTCAATGTACGCATATTTTTCAGAACTTATTTGTTGTGTGAAGGCAGGTATATCATGTCACTTTACAGAACCAGAAGATTTTTTTTTTAAGACAGAGTCTTGCTCTGTCACCCAGGCTGGAGTGCAGTGGCGCGATCTCAGCTCACTGCAACATTGGCCTCCCAGGTTCAAGAGATTCTCCAGCCTCAGCCTCCCGAGTACCGGGATTACAGACGTGTGCCACCATGCTCAGATAATTTTTGTACTTTTAGTAGAGACAAGTTCACCATGTTGGCCAGTGTGGTCTTGAACTCCTGACCTCAGGTGATCTGCCTGCCTTGGCCTCCCAAAGTGCTGAGATTACAGGCAGTTGATTTTTTTTAATGAGCATTTTTAAAAATAGGGACTAGTTTGATGTTGCAAATGGCAGTTATTACCTTTGGAAATCTTGACTAATTCTAAGTAGGAGAGGCAGGAAAACATCACAACCAAGGCCTGTGGGTTTGGTATTGATCCTTATATATTTATTTGGCCATGGGCTTGTTAGACCGCTTTTAGACTGAGATTTAGGCAAAGAAGGAAGTGAACTTGGTTTTTAATCATAATTTTCTCTAGATCATTCTTAGGTCAAATGAACCAGCTTCCTGCTGCAGAAATTGTTCGGTGCTACATGGGCATGTGAGAACAAATTTTGCGTGCTCAGTGCTAAGGCAGCTTCTCCCACCGACTCTACCTTTCTCTCAACAAGATCTTAAAAGATGATTTCTTCCCCACAGTCCTTAGATGCACTCAAGTCCTGTCCTTGAGCGCTGATGTTTAATTACCACCCTGGTTCACAGTCACCTGCTATCAGCCTTCTGGTTTGGGGATTCTGCCCTTTTAATCAGCAGGCAAAAAAATCAGACTCAGGCTTTTGACCCTGCAAAATGGAGAAGCATGTACTATTTTTGAATTAAAAAAAAAAATAGAAATTTGACACTAAGACGCCTAAGCAAATGGGTGGAGATCTGAAGTAGCAAGTGAAAATGGTACCATTAATGATACCGATGATGGATGAAAAGGCAATTGCAAACAATTTGGTGTTTTGTACTTAACTCCAGTCAAGCACTTACCAAAAGAATTAAACTAGTTGAACTTCAACAGTCTAAATGAAATCTTGAAAGCATGAGTGTATTTCCTAAGCAGTATGGAAAGGAAGAGAGAGAGAAAGTAGTTAAACACATCTCCATTCCCGGCACACACCCTTGGCTTGCATTGTTTACCACCTTTTAAAGTAATGCCTGATGTGTTATATGCTGGTCCTCCCAAAATTCTAAACTTTCCCCGGAAGTGACCTTACTTCTCCCAGTGCCCACAACCCTCTTAAATACCAAAGAGCTTCACGGGGAGAGGATTAGAATTTTATAAAGCTGACCCTTCTCCGCTTGCGCTGGACAGGCTGTCAAAACACTTTGTCATGTTATCTCACTCCGTATTCGCTTTCTCTCCTTGTAGCTACCTCATCCCTGAACTCCCAGCTCCAGCAGCTCCAGCTCCAGCTCCAGCAGCAGCAGCAGCCTCCACCGTCAACCAACCAGCACCCGCAGCCAGCCCTGCAGGCACCCTCGCAGTCCCAGCAGCAGCCGCCGCCGCAGCCCACCCCACCCCAGCAGCCACCACCCGCCTCCCAGCAGCCACCAGCTCCTACATCTCAGCTGCAACAGGCACCTCAGCCCCAGCAGCACCAACCCCACTCCCATCCCCAGAACCAGAACCAACCATCTCCAACCCAGCAGAGCTCCAGCCCCCCGCAGAAACCCAGTCAGTCTCCAGGACATGGCCTGCCTTCGCCGCTCACGCCACCCAATCCTCTACAGGTAGGCTCTCCCTGCTCCCCATCCACTCCCAGGAGCACCAAAGACCTTTCCACGGGGTAGTGCCATTCCCAAAGGTAGAGGGCCAGCAAAACTTAGCATCCAGTTCTGCAGTGTCTAATTCAAATTGATCTCTTAGACATAGGGAAGAGGAAGCAACTAGCAGGCAACTGGGGATGCATGTAAACGAAACAAATAGAAGCCCATTTCAGTTGCCCTCCAAAGGATAAATGTTATCTGTTTCCTTCTGTGAGAGGCCGGCACTATAAGTGCACTTGGAGCCTGTAATAATTCCATTTTATGATACTTTTTGAAGGCAGCAAAGATAGCATCCAATTAAAATTATTACTAGCACGGTTTTGTAGCCCCGTGGAGAACTGCATCCACTGTCCATGAGGCATGGTGGTTATTTCTCTATATTATGAATACAACAGTGTCTCACCTTAAGTACTTTGTGCTCTCTTGTTTCTATTTTTCTAAAGACTCTCTGGGGTTAGGAGGGCAAAGAAATTTAGCCCCAGTCTTATGTCCCAGATTCCAACCATTACTCCACAGACTAACAAGTACTCTAAATTCATGCCAAGAGTCTCAACAAATATGCATCTTTATAAAAGAATAAAACTTCTATAGGTTTACTTTATTACTGCGAGGCTGAGGGCATCATAAATAGATATTTCAGGCTAATCATGAGACCTCATCTGTAACCTACCTATTGAGAAGGAATGGATAGGTGTATTCAGGAATACATATACATATATATATGTATATATAATACACACACATATGTATGTATGTACATACATACACACATATTATATATGTATATATATACATATACACACACATAAATATTTATACACATATATATAAAAAACTTTAAACTTCAGAAAACCATGTTTAACTTAGGTGCCTTTCAAATAAATTAGCTTCAAAACATAATGACTGTTATGATGACATATCAGATCCCGACATTAATAACTCAGCCAAGCCATCCATTCTTTGCCTTGCACAATGACATTTTTCCCTGTGAGGTTTCAGATGACTTCATGTATTTGTAGTACTATGACAAAGTTCCACAGAGTGAGCAGCCTATGCACCTGTTTCAAATGCCATCTCATCCCCCTGCCATAGTGGTGGGTATGAACCTCAGTCAAGCAAACTCTCCCCAGCCTGAGGATGACAGTAGCGATGCTCTCCTTGGCTCCTAAGTGGAAAAGTATACAAAATAAAGACAGGTTGGTACATGGACAGAAAGGCAGGAGGATGAGAGACTTGGTATTTTAGAACCTAGCTTGTTGTCCCATAGCTTTGTCTCTTTCAATATGGATTCTCAGTGGGGCTCAAAGCATTCCTAGAAATGAACACATTTGGGAGAGATGAGTCATGTTTTTCTGGGCACTTGGGCCAGGGCTACTTTCAATTTGAACATTTTCATGAGTGGATTTTCCAGATGTATGTATACGAATCTTACGATGGCGAGACAACATAACACCTTTGACATAGTACTGAAATGAACATGAGCCAAAAATGTCTTCATTGTCTGCTTGACAGCTACAGAGAGAGCAGGTGTCATCAAATTTACAAAATGCATGATTACAGCAACTTTAATATTGGTCCCATTTGGGATTCAATCTTATTATTCAAAAAAATGGATGTAATACTTTTTAAGAACACTTATATTAGATGTACCTATATACCATCTAATTAATCTATCCCAGGATCCAAAATACAAAAAATTACCAAAGAAAAAAATTGCCCTTCCTTGAGGAATGAAATTACTTAGCTGTGTCCCTGGTTGTCCTATATAGTCCAGTATTCCTTCCTATTAGGTGAAAGTTTTGAGCTCTGTGACATCAGCCTTCCCTGAACACTGTCAGAGTTTTGTAAATCTTTATCGACCATTCCAGCCCTGTTGAATGACTGTTGATGGGACTTTAGATGAAGCGACCACTCAGCCTCATGGAAATAAACTTAGAATTTCCAAAAGTTCTCCTAGCAGTTTCTCGTGGAAATCTCAGGGCTGTTTGTTTTGTTTTTGCAATAAATGAAGGCTCAGAGCCACAATTCCTTCTTTGCAATGCTGAGAGAATATTCTAATTTTTCATTGTTGAAGTTTTAACTTACAAACTTAATAAATATGTTTAGCATACATTTAAATATACAGGAGCTATTACTCTAACTTCTGTGGATCTAACAGATGACCACCAAATGAGTGACTTTGTACACATTTTAAAACATTACTGAGCAGATACAGAACTAATTTTGAATAAATCTGTGTCAGAAGGCATAAAAGGACTTTTTTCCTTTACTACAGGCATGTATAAAGGAAATAGAGAATTTTGCGATTGAAAAAAAATTTTATACTAGCTGCAGGCTTTTTCAGTTTGTGGAACACGGAATGTTTGAACTTTTTAAAATGAAACTGTTTAAAAGGAATTGCAAAGATATTTAATTGCAAAGATATTTAACTACCAAAAGTAATGATCTTTATAAAGTGTTTTTGTTTGAAGATTATTAAGGGAATAAAGATCAACTGAATTCATATATGACAGCCTAAACTTCGTTTTACGATTCTTTATTTTCATGTGGGCTTTATCTTTTTACATTATCAAAAATCTGCTAGAGCTATATTAGTTTAGAACTATGCAATGTAGATTATCAGGGAAAGCCAGTCAATCAGGTTTTTTGCTTTAAAAACAAAACTTTGGAGGACAACAATTATTTCTAAAATTGTGCCGATGCTGCCTTGTCTTCAGAAAAAAATAAATGTAAGTAGGTTGTGTGGTATATTTGGGTGAGGTCATTTCTTGAGATAAAAAAAAAAATTAATGACTGGGAACGGTAGCTCACACCTGTAATCTCAGCACTTTGGGAAAGGCAGGTGGATCACAAGGTCAGGAGTTCGAGACCAGGCTGACCAACATGGTGAAACCCTGTCTCTACTAAAAATACAAGTTAGCCGAACATGGTGGTGCATGCCTATAATCCCAGCTACTCAGGAGGCTGAGGCAGGAGAATCACAACCCAGGAGGTGGAGGTTGCAGTGAGCCAAGATCGCACCACTGTACTCCAGCCTGGGTGACATAGTGAAACTCTGTCTCAAAAAAAAAAAAAAAAAAAAGATTAATAGTGTTGGTGGGTAGTAACACTCTAAACAAAAATTCTCCAAATACCTCTTATCTGGCTTTCCTGTAAATTTGCAATATAATTTTATTTCACTCTTTTACTCAATTCCATGAAATGGATTACATTTACAAAACCAAGTTGTTTTAAGACACATAGGAATCTAAAGTATTATCCCTTCAGAGAAGCCCAGGTAGGGGGATCACTTTGTTTATTAATTTTGATCACTCAGCATTATAGGAGGTCTGGTGGTCTAAAGCACACTCTAGAAGCTGGCCCCTGGAGGTCCATCTATGGATTCTCCATTGAGACTCAAACCCACCCACCCATGGCTTCATTCTTGCCCAGGAAGCTTGAGGAGAGAAGTTCTAAACAGGAAATGCAAGGGCAGAAGTCTTCAGGGTCTGGTAATCCCTGTAAATAAGTAAAGTAGCCTTGGTTGTAAAACTCAAAATCAAATTTATAATAACAGTATATGGAACAAACAAGATGCACTGTGAGCTGAATTTAGTCCTTGGGTTCCAGGATGGATAGCAGTCCATCCTCCCTATTTTTGCTGAAACCCACGGTCCACAGGCTGTGCCTGAATCTAAAACTAGAAGTATAGACTGTGTTTGATAGAAGCAGATCAGAAACATAAATGAAAGCAATTATTGGGTGCAAAAGACATGATCTAGGTAGAAAAAAACAGTTTCAATATGTAATTTTAATCTGGAGAGATACCCCATAAGCATAAGAATGGTGAAATAAAACCCTCATTTTTATGACCTTTGAAAAGAATTTTCTTGAAAAGAAAACTCCTTGGGAGTTTTTATTTATACTGGTAACATTTCAGACATCTTATAAAAGCCCTGTTGTGCACATATTCCCTCTTGAGTGGTCTGGAGATTTCTTGGGCATGGTTGGAGCCCAGGCATGGTATAGGTGGAAGAGGGTAAGGGCTTGAGTCCCCTTGTAGTTCTGACACTGCCTGTAACTAACTCACAACTTTGGATAGGTCACTTTAGCTCTCTGGACTTCATTTCCCTCATCTGTGTGGTCTAAAGTCTTTTTCAGGCCTATGAGTCTAAATCTTAATGTTAGTAGACCTCTGGAATTTTATTGGCTATTGCAAACTCGATAGTCCTGAAGATTCTCTGAGTATCCTTCAAGGTCAGGTTAATTTCTTCCTACTCAGCTGGGTGGCAGAGTGAAAAGACGGTGGAGGACAAATGTAAATGGGATAATGGTAGCAGAAGCAGATTTTATCTTAGCCAGAGAGTCCAAATTAAAGTCAAGTTTTTATCCTCAGAGAGCCACTGCTATAAGCACTGGTCCCAGATTGCTTTTCCACACCTATACATTGGAGAAGCTTAAGAAGCCAAATGCTGCATTTAACCTTGGCCTCCTGTGTACCATCTTGCATGGCAGGACGTAGGATAATCTTTTCCTTTTCTTGTTCTATTGCACATTTTAATAAATAGCAGAGGGAGAGAGAGATCAGTAGGAGTTGGAGAGTGAAAGCTATCTGTGCTTGCATGAGGAATGAGGGGCACCGTCACTTCCTTGGAGTTGAAGTCGCCTGAGAGTGTAAAATGTATTCTCAGCCATGTGCATTTGCTAATGGAAAGGTCTAGCTACCACTCAGGCACAGCAGAGTAAAACTGCATCTGAATCCCACCTCTGGTGTGCCATGGGCATCGCCTTCTGGTCTTCCCATTTGAGATATTTTCTCACTGGCAAACTTAGTACTAAGTTCTAAAGTGTATATATGATGGGAGAGGGTGGTATATTATCACTTTTAAAATAAAGAGCCCAAAGCCTCGAGAAGGAGCTAGACCTATAGGACTTTCCATTTCTCTAAAGCAATACCCTATAGAAAACACCCAGTGTTCTACGCC